GATTCCATGTACTCTTTTTCAGCATTCCTAATTGCGCAGATCAATGCTCATGCTGTTGATCACTGGATTGTCTGGTCCAGACTCGATTATTTACAGACCGCTGGAATATTGCTGAAGGCGGCGTAAAACTAAATTCACTCACTCACTTTTTCAGCATTCAAATATGCTCATTCTTTATTTAATAAATTTGATTGATCCGATGTATTTACTTGTTGTATTGTACTGAGTTTTGTTACTTTAAGTAGCAGAAAATGCACGATCCCTTCTTATATATATTGACCTTTAAAAAACTGAATATTTACCTTGACTTTTAGTCTAATCATCATGAATGTCACCAGAACTACAACATTCTTATCTTATGCATAGTTCATATATATTGTGAACTCTGAGCCAGACAGTAGAGCGTAAAGAGTGTTTACATTTCACATCAGCAATATCCAGAAAATCAGGATGAATAGTTTATATGTAATTCCCGTGTATTTAGGCATGATAATGAACGGCAGTTCTTCGGATTTGATATAAATTAAATAACATATAATCAATAATACAACGTCCATGGTATTCAGCTAACATTTCATGCATTAAGAGGTGTTTTAAATCAATATGATAATTTCTACGTCTTTGACTGGTTCCATGTCTAAATCCCATTCAGATGCCGGGTATATTGTTTCGTGCTATGCGTTTCTTGCAGAAATATCATAGATGATGGTTGTTTAAGTGGAACATTAAAAGAATCTATAAGTTTGGATGCATCTGATAGGAGTTCCTCGCATTCATCGATCATATTTCTTCACAGCTATGGAAGTGACTTCACAGAAGAAATATATTAGACCCGTGAACGTCCGGGTTGAAATCTTTAACGGTCCATGTTTATTGTATCGGGACCAGATTGTCAGGCTTGCTGACATGGTTGATGCATTCCATCGTATCCCAATTGCGTCGGACGATGCTCATGATGTCAATCACTAGAGCGTCTTTAGCAGACTCGATTATTTACTGATCGACGTCCATAGCTGGGAAATTGGCGTAATGTTTTTTTAGGCAACAAACAAACAGAACAAATCAAAACCCATGGCGGTATGGTTTGTGGAAAAGGGTAAAAGGCCGGACGGGACAACTTAGGAATTGCCAGCGAGTCCTAACTTGACACATAGAAGGAAGCGAGCTACAAAGATATATTTTATATCATTGGAAAGATCTGAAGGAGATGAACCCAAAAGGTTCACGTGACAGTGTGTTCACGTGTTCATAAGCTCACAAATTGCCTCTGAAAATGCATTTCTGCAGAAATCTCTGGCAGAATTATTTTTTTCCGCAGAAAGTTCTGGCAGAATTTATTTTTCCTGCAGAAGTTTCTGGCAGAATTTTTTTTTATGTCACTACCAGAATTATCTTAATTGAATGAAATTAGACACCATCTTTGGATAATTTGATATGGTCTTTCTTTAAATGATGTTGTTTTCTCCTGTAAACAACTTCCAAGTTGGAGGGGAAATGGTTCCGAGAAGTAGATTGCCGCACAAATTTTACAAGGCACATTTTAACATCTTATGAAGACACAATGAAAGTAAAAATAATATGGTAATTTCTTTATACATCATTTATTCACACTCTGTATTACATGAGTTTCCCTGGACGAAGTTACAGTCATTTCATCTTAGACATGAGCCCTGTTGCCTTTGAGTGCCAAATATTTTCAGAAATGGATCCTCTCGGAGAAATATGTGTCCAATATATATATATATGTCAGGGTAGAGATTGCGATTTGATCGGAGATTCTACCAGTATCCGACTATAGTCTGTTTGCAGTGGAAACATACCGATGAATTTTACTTTAAACAAAAAAGTAAATCAAATAAAGTGAAGTCCTCGTAACTTTACCTTGTCAATTGAACAAGGCGGTACGCGAAGTAGTTGGAACAGTGAAACAAAAGCAGGTGCGGTGCGAGATGAGCGTTAACTTGACTACCGCAAAAACCAACTTTTCTTATTCTCGGGGTTTCATTTATTTTGCATACCCCCTTGAAATACAAACCAACAATAGAGATTTAAAACTATGATCGTTTGTTAAACAACTTTTATCTTAAGTTGAACAAAATTCTGAGATTTAAATGTTCAATTGGCAAGGTAAAATTATGAGGATTCGCAATTTTAATTTCACTGTATTTGATTTACTTTTATGTTTAAAGTGAAATTCATCGGAACGTTTTCACTGCAAACAGACTATAATAGAGATTGAAATCGGATCCTACCTGTCAGATCCGATTCTACCAATACAATTTCCATTTCAACTAGTAAAAACCCTGATTGATCTGCAGGCAAACATCAAAGACACTTCATTTGCTGAACAATAATACTCATGTTATTATGCATGTTATTTTGATATATGAAAAATGTAAAGAAATTCAAATAATTCTATATCAATGTGTCTCACTTTAATACAAATTTCATTAATTGATCATTTCATGGCCATTTTGTTGATACAAACTATGGCTCAACACCCATATATGAAAATATCTACTAGTAGGATCAGATTGGAGCTTCCACTGGTAGAGATTGCTATTGTATAGGTTATTCTATATAATAAGTTTCTACCAGTAGAAGCTATTCTTAGAAATGCCTCCATCAACCCGCTCAACGTGGCCAGCGTACCGAGCTGAGATGATAAACAATACATAAGCGACACTGTATCACTGTTCAAAGTGACAATACCCGATTGCCTCGTTGAAACAAGGATTTATGCCCGATGTGGCCATCGAGTTTTCACACCCGTTCATTTATTAATTATGGGGCAGTCCCTTCAAGCGGCCACCGACCCGGTTCGGTTGTCCCTGACTGGCCAGCGCAATTAACACTTGCGTAATCCAGAGCGGCCACTCAGGGAATACACCAAAATAATGTCCGGCAGTGCCGCATGAACAATATACGCCTTTTGGGTTCTTTCCAGTACTTTTGACGGTTCAGTTCAACACCAGATGATGATATTTTGTTGACTGTAGGAAGACAATAACAGAGAACTTTGTAATCAAACATACATTGGGCCCGCACATTTAAGTTTCATATCTAGAAAGTTATAACTTAATAAATAGTTGAAATGTTCTTTCATGTAATCGAAATACTTTTTGATAGTTCATCATTGTATATTGTGGTATTACACAGACTTGATATACTTAAGCACCACGTGCAAATTTAAATCATATGACTGCATCCCAAGTAGTTACAATATCGTATCGGAAGGTCTACTCCCATTTGTTAGAACTACTAGTTGTGAGACTCCCAGTTGTGAGACAGTGGAGTAGGTAATTAGCAAAGAAAACACACCTTACTCCCCTATCTGATAGAATGGATTAACCCCAACTAATAAGGGATTAGCTATTTAACTGAATCTTGTGGAGGTAACTTAATGAATCTCTAAAAGATAAAGTAATTAACCTACTCAGGTAAATGGCTTTAAAAAAATAAACACTTTGTGTAGGTAACTTCGTGATCATTTGAAAGAGAAAGTAATTCACCAACTCAGATTTACGTGTTTGAAAAATCTAGCAATAACTGTTGTAACTATAATTAATCCAAATGTATTTATTAACCTTTGACTGCTCTTTCCGATCACCATTATGGCAGGCCTTCAACAAGTAGAATATATCACCAGTTCACGAGGCAGTATTCAGGTGATCTTTCAGGGTTACCTGTATCAGGCAGACTATATAACGGGGAGAGTATCCCTGCCTGTATTACAAGAACGGGCAGCGCCAGACTTGTACCTATTGGAGATGTACAAAAACAACGTGCAACGGCAAATGCACTAAAGTCGGCGACTTTCTTTGGAATGTGACCGATCATGACCATCCTCCAGAAGATGTCCACCGCCTCCGAAAATAGAGAAGGCAGAGAAGACCAAGCTGTGCCAACTCGACCTGGGAGGCGCCCCTCGATCGAGGAAACGCGTGTATAGGGAAATAGACAATCGCCTACATAGACTCAAAGATCAACTCGCCGATGGAACGAAAAATCACAAGCAGTATCTTGATGCAGTCGGCAAACTGCTGGAAATATGAAAAGTGTCAAGATCTCGAAATATGGACCCATGTACAAAAGTGTTTTATAATGACACGCAAACATCATAATAGTTAATCAAATGTGTTAATCATCAAAATGTGTGAATCATAAATCATAATGAAATATTTAATGAACTATTTCTTCTGTGTAAATAAAATGATAATCTTTTTCAGTATTTCAGTATCTAACTTGTTCTTTATTGAAAACAATAAATGCTCTTCAACGAACAATGTCTTCTGTGTTAATTAACTCATTAATGAACTGTCCTGCGGGTACTCTTCAGCAACAGGGCTGTTCCCACTTTCATCGTAAGGATGGGGAAGCACCACCTGTGTGCACTGAACCATAAATTAATGTGTCTCACAACTGGGAGTTCTCACAAATGGGAGGACACCTGTTTATTCGAGGATGGAAACCACGGATAAAAACGGCGAAACAAAATTTTCGATACTACGACAAAAATCGTCATTAAAAGTCGCGAGCATTATTGGCATTATCTCTGTCCTGGCGCGCTGAAATATCACGCATAAATAAACTACTTTAGTTATCGTGTGAGTGAGTGCACGTTGGCCGTGATAGCATTATTGGCCTGAGTATATTTCCGCAGTGATCAACAGCATGGCATCGAAATTAACCGCTGAAATATCACCGTCATAAATAAACTTATAGTCGCCTCTTACGACAAGAAGTCGCTTTTTTGTGGCAAGCACATGGGTTGCTGAAGACCTACTCTACCCCGGATCTTCACGGGTCCTTTTGTAAAGCAGAAGCGCGATGCTTTTATATCGAGTCTATGTCTGTTTGTTTGTTTGTTGTTGTTTTGTCCGGTGTAGAAAGAGAGAGGCATATACCGCGTACGAAAATAACAACCGAATAGCGTGTTTTACATTTCAACGGAGCACACGATCCGTTCGTTTATTTCATTTATATGCCAGGATGCGCTTTCACGCGGCGCTACAGTCCACCAGCTCAGCCACGAGCCTCTGTAATTCAGCGTCGAGTTCGACAGTTGTTTCTTCTCCTGACTCCCGACGTTCTTGGATACCTATCTTCGTAGAAGAAGAGGGCGCTGTCTTTTGTTTCTTCGGTTTTTCTCGCTGTCGTTGGTGACGGTTGTTATGCCGTCGTTTGTCTTCTTCCTTTCTTCTTCTTCTCGCGATATATCGCGACACGTGAGCGTCGGTTTCCTCGGCCGCTTCAAGTTTGGGGGTGCGTGGTCGGCCGTGGTGGTGGTGGTTGTGGGTGGGTTTTCTTGTCGGTGTTGGTGGGCGGCGGCGGCTGTTGCGTTGTCGTCGTTGGTGGCGGGTTCTCAGTTGTCGACGATGTTGGGTCGGTGTGTCGGGGTTGAGGCGTCTTTTTTGCGCGGGTGCTGGTGCTGCTGCTCTTGCTTGTTGTTGGAGTGGCGGGGTCGGTTTGGAGGAGCTCATGCTGTGACGGACGGCTACCATCACGTGTGAGAGGGCATTGGTTAGGGCGTAGTTGATTTGGAACATGTCGTCCTTATACACCCCATCGTTCGGCTGTTGAGACATGACGATAGATACTACTACTCCTACTCTGTAAAGTATACGTGGACGTGACGTGTGACGTGTTTGTGGCTCTCAAAGTAGAGAGAGAGTGCAGCTTAGCGAGATGCCGGGCTATTTACTGGTCGAGTGCGATCGACGAATCGTGGGGTTGGTGTCGTAGCCGAAAATGTTGTCAGCGACCACGCCAAACCCCCTGAACGATATCTTTATTCGAGAATGGAAACCAGCGCTAAAGATGGTGAAACTGAGACTTCAATACTATGTCGAAAACCGAAATTAAAGTGTGGATATTTCTCTGGTTACTTTAGCTATCGTGTGCTGCGTACTGACCATACTGGTTTTACAGCATCCCACTCCCTCAGCGAGAGCAACACCCCCGCGACTATTTTCAACGCGTCGGTTATGGACCTAAGAGACAACACGTGTATGCGGGATCAGCTACGTCTTTCGCCAACCAAACGTGTTTCCATTTGTATGAAAGAAACTCTCCCTATAATCGACATTAGACAATTTCTAGCTCACAAGGTCTCAATACTAGGTACATCTATATCCAAAGAGGAATGGGATAAATAAGTTGCAAATATTTCACGCATAAATAAACTTTTAAAAGCTCTTCTGTAAAGCAGAAGTGTATGCTTACAACACGTATATGTTTTGTTGCCTTTACCGGAGTATTGTAAAAAGATGGGTTGAAAAGTATAATGCAAAGCACGGTATTATAAACGGAGTACCTTTAACCACGCCAAGAGTATATCGAGTTGTCCCAAAAGTATGACACATTGTTCTAATAGTATTACAGACTGTTCCTAAAGTATGACAGACCCTCCCAAAACCATGTCATTAGTCGCTGCCCCTTTCCGTAGGTTTTACTAAATGTAGGGGAGAACGTATAACCACGCCAAAGGTATGACTAACTGTTCTAAAAGTATGACGGGTAGTTCTAAACCTGTGACGACCATACCCTTTCCAATCCAATTTAAAGCGCTCCTGTAAAAGCAGAAGCGTAATGCTAACAACACGCATATGTTTTGTTGTTTTTACCAAGTATTGCAAAAAGAGGAGTGAAAGTATAATGCAAATGTGGAGAGACAGAAGCGAAATTAAGACGACCGATGGTCGTGCTACCGCCGCTGGAGAAAAACAAGTCATGCTATCGTTGTTTGCAATGTACAAAGCATTCTTTGGGGAGAGGTGGGTCGTCCCGAAAAGGACCTTTGGGTGGTGTGAGAGACTCACAGGTGTGCACTGACACTGGTGAATTGTCATCCTTCGTCTGATGTGACACTTACCATGCGTCAAACGTCGCATGTAAGTGTCCTTCAGTATGGTACCACCATATACACACTGAAATGTACCATATAATCTATCGTGCGGTTTTCATACACGGGTAGACACCCCCGACATTGGTGACACTGCCATGCAGGACACGTGCAGGGCACGCTGGTGATGACTGGGATGGGGATGGTGGCGATTTACACAGATTTCGAAACGTTCCACATTCGTGTTGCACGTTTTCTGCAGATGTATCTACAGTAAAGGACGGGAGAAAGTATAACCTCTACAAAAGGTATGACACAGTGTCCCAAACGTATGACAATCCGTTCCAGAAGTAAGACAGATCCTCCTAAAAGTGTGACTTTAGCCTCGTACAATTCTTGCAGATTTTACTACTAAAATGACGGGAGAATGTATAACCACGCCCAAAGTATGACACGCTGTTCCAAACGTATGACACACCCTTATAAATATATGATACACTGTTTTCAAAGTATGACACACAACACCTAAGCCGTGTTTATCAGCCTTTCTTAGCGTGTCTGATGCTAGACATGAGGTCTAGATGTTCCACTCCCGATGGTTACACAGCCAGACATTTCTAGCGCCGATATAGTGAAACATTATTCTAGCACGACAATATGTGATACTCGATTCTGATTGGCTGAGAGCTCGTCAAAACCCTACTTAAGGACCGCTAATTAAAGTGACCGATTCACAGTGTATGAATACAACGAACTCGTTGACCCTATTGTTTCTAAGTAAAAAGAATATGGTTAAAAACGATTCCATGGTTTGTATGTGGTATAATAATAGTGTGAAGCGCTTACTCGAAAAATCCTAAAACTTTAGCGGGAAAGCTGTTCGAGAGAGAGACTGTATTTACAAAGAAGAAGAAAAGTGGTTAATTAAAGTGTCACATATTGTGGCTGGCGCTGGTGTAGTACCGTAAAATATCCCATAGCCCAAGTGAAAAGTATGGCACACGACATTCCCCAAGGCCTGAGAGAATATAATTCCGAACATGTGGTAATAAAATAGAATTTAATGGGCTGAAGAGACTGAAATATCCTATACTGTTTATTTGCAACACGGACAGAAAAAGCGAACCGGGAAGTCACTGGGTCCCTTTAAGCATAGAGGCACCCTGTAGATTACACATGCACGACTCGTACGGTATATATTACGCACGAATATGGCCCGAATTTCACGATTTTGTGACAAAATACGGTCTTTTGCATTATTCCTACAACAGAGTTCGTGTACAAAGCCTCTCGTCGGTAGCTTGCGGGCACCATTGTTTATATTTCGTCATTTGGCGATCTCGAGGTATTTCTAACGATGATATAGTTAGGCATTTCAGTAAAAGTAATACGCTTGAACACGATTCCGAGTTATTGCGGCTATCTCATCCTTACGAGGTACCCATATACAGCTGGATGGACTGGGAATCCTAGTCACAGTACTTTGTCCAAGTTTACTGCACGTTGCTGTACCAGCAACTAGATGTTTGCACGTATTCATGTGGCCACCATCTGGTCATATAACAACGGATTCGTGGGTTCTTTTAAGTGCACAGGGTTGTGTACTGTTCACTAGGGGTTGTGACAACATTGTAAGAGTCTGCACACAATGTTGATTCCAAGGTTTTTACACCCTGTCACAGGCATGAGCTCGATCCCGACACCTCAAGCTCACGGGATCACTAGCCTGGTGCCTTAGCCAGCTCGCCCACCATGCCACCATTATAAATATACTTTGATCAGGTTCTATTCTGGCAGCATGTAATTGTTTTAAAGATTTCAAAAAATTATGAAAATACAAATCGCAATTTTGATATCACAAAGTACACGAGCAACAGAACGAATTATAGTTGTTAATAGAGACGACCATGAACGGTGTGAATTCCACACACGCTATTTCTTTAAATAACGGGCTCCAATATTTTGCTGTTGAACATTTTCTCTGAATTCAACTTGCTTTAAAAATATATTTCAGTGTAATATTCATGTTGGCATGTACTAAGAAGTAACTGAAATAGCTATCAATGAGTTTAAAAAAAATACATACACTGAATACACTGATTTAATGTTAGTTTTAAAATTGTGCATATAATTCACTTCACTGGGAAAGTCTTTAGTCATCATACTTGGATGTCTTCATTTTATTTTAGTCATCCAATCAGAAGAGGCATCAGATTATAAGATAATGTCATGGGAACAATTACGGTATATGGTATGACGGTATTTTAAAAAACCGATGTACGTTGTAATACTTGAAAGAGATAATGATTAAGTAAGTCAATCATCCGTGAAGTTCTGGCTTAGAATTGATCTTAATCAACCCATGCTTGTCGTAAGAGGCGACTAACGGGATCGGGTGGTCAGGCTCGCTGACTTGGTTGGCACATGTCATTCTATTCTTATTTCAATCCTTGCACTTTCAAACACTTGATTGTCTGGTCCATACTCGATTATTTACAGACCGACGCCATATAGCTGTAACATGGCTGCTTGCGGCGTTCAACAAGTAAAAGCAAACAAACAAAAACCTTAGACAATCAGCCAGCTTTATGGTTTCATCCCTTAGACCCCACTTTCTAGTGAAATAAATTACTGATTCTTCCAGCAAGGAACAACTTCACATTGTAAATATATTTCTTTAGATTTCCATATGATTTAAAAACCTGGTTTTATTCCTTTCATATATATTTTTTAAATACTTGTTTGATACACGATAACTTAAGTGACAAAATATACATTGTGATATGAATCACTAAGGCCAACATCTTCGTGTTTTCTCACTAGGTTTTATTCTTTTTATTTCCATACCATATACAGGCTCGAGACGACACTAAGCCATCGAGAAATAGTTATACATGCATGCATGCATACATACATACATACATACATACATACATACATACATACATACATACATACATACATACATACATACATACATACATACATACATACATACATACATACATACATACATACATACATACATACATACATACATACATACATACATACACACACACTCATAAAAAAACGACAAAATGATTGGAACCCATGTTGATTTTATAATGACAATTGCTCATTTTAAGAAAACCCACTGATTTTCAAACAGAGGGACACACAAAGTACCTGAGTACCCACAAAGTGGCTGAGCGGGTTAGGTGGCTTACTAAGTGTGCTGGCGATTAGGTGCCTGACTCTGAGGGTGTGGGTTCAAATCCCTAATGGGACTCAAGTCACTCAAACCAACAAAAGTACTAGAATCTGTACTTTACTGAGAAAGTGTAATCGCAAATATAACCTATATTACAGATTACCACTTTCTAAATGGCACTGTGTATTTATAACTGTTACCAAATTTTAACAGAGGGTTTGGATTTATTTTGATAGAAGTGACATAGGCTACAGTTACCAATTCGTCGGTTTCAGATTTTAAATCATATACAACAACATGTTGAGTTTTTGTTCTCATCATATGAGAATGTGGACAGCTCTTCTTGCCATATTATAGAGATTCAAGTCAGGGATGAATAGTGAGTGAGTGAGTTAAAATTTTACATCGCATCGGCAATATTACAGCCATATAGCGATGAAAACAAGGTAATCAATTTAAATAGCTGTCGACAAAGCACAGTAAAACAAACTAGACTATCACAGATACATACTTAAAACTAGTAATTAAATCTAAAATACGTTTACTATAGA